TTATTCAGTTTTGCACTTATTTCAATTTAGTTTCAATCCAGGGCAGCTACTAATGTTTCACTTCCAAGGCTTCACTTCTGCTGCAAAAAGTCTACATCCAATTTTTATTTTACATGTACTGTACCATGAAAGATTACTCATTCCTGGTGTATTTGGTCGATCTTTATTTTCTCTCTTCATATCTTCTCTGCTTTTCCTTCCTTTTTTTTTTCTTTTTTCTTTTCATCTCTTGACTTTTTTCCCCACAGCAGAGACTAACGGTTCCCTCTTTGTGGTTAGGCGTTAATTGAACCCCTCTGCTGCTGTGAAATGTTTCTTCAAATGCTTCTTCCTTAAATCTACTTTAATCTTTCCAGCTTTAAAGCGGCAGTAAAACATGAAACATGTTGTAGTGAATGCGTCTGCTGCTGGGCGCATTCCCACAAAACTGTCACTTTAATCAACAGGAACTTATAAAAACTGCTTTTCACACTGTCTCTCATAAAATGTTCTGCCCTTAACATGTCTTCTTTCAGCCCCTGACCTGTTTCATACCTGACCTCTGACCCCTCACAACTCAGTCAACGCCCACTTCATGGCTAGGCCCTGGCTGAGGCTGAGGGGAACGTATGCCTGTGGCAGCAGTACTTGTTAATGAGCTTTTTTCTAATGGCATCATCCCAGACTCACGTTATAATTGCTAATAATCAGTTCTGGTGCAATTATAAGGAGTGATATTACACTGGTATCTGATTAGGTTGATGTGTCAAATAGAAAGGGGTTAAGTAGCTCAGACGATCTGCCTGGGTTTTGGCGTCTGAGTCAGAAGAGAAGAAAGTGAAAGTGTCTGCATGAAGAGAGAGATCGTGTTGATGTCTAGTGGGACTGCTTTAATGTTGTTAGCCGATCGGCTCTAATGTAGCATTGCAGGGTTTGTAGGTTAAATCAATGAGGCGTGGCCCAGCGCGGTAGTGATGGGGGAGCATTGGATGAGCGGAGCTTCTGAGGACTAATGCTGTAAATGAGCCACGTGATGTCAGAGAATATTGATGATGGGAAACACGAGAGCTCTGTTATGAAGATCCTGGACCGAGCCGGTCGATGTCAGAGCCTTTTTTTTGTCAGTGCAGCAAATGAGACTGATACACTGCCAAAAAATGGCAGCGTTTCTCAGCAGTCTCATCAGATAAGGGTTGTAAAATATTGATTACAGAGCAACACAGGAATTACAGTGACAAAAATGCTGCTGATTACTGAACCTGTAGCTTGAACATGCTTTGGGAAAAGTGCTATATAAGTACAGGTCAACTATCATTTATCTTAAAACAAAAACCTTAGAAAGACTTTATGGCCTTTTAGCCTGCAGTTCTGGTTGACTCCTGACCTCTCAGTCTGCACCTCCAGCATCTTCTGCACCAGTAAAACTCCTGATCCCAGAACATCCAGCTCAGAATTACTGCGCACCTCCAACCACAGTCAGCAGTCCCACCGTCAGCTTCTGGTCAAAGCCCTCCTAAGTAAGAGCAGCTGCATGATGCTGCAGAGGAAAGCATTTCTCTGATTGCTAGCAGATGCCCTCACCACATAGGAGGCACATACAGTACCACAGTCAATAACAGAGCTCAGCGCTATATACTGTATGTAATGTAACTCTTTTTAATTATCACTGTAAACTGCGATTTTTTTTTTGGAACACCCATCATGAAAAGTCAAACATTAAGTTATTTCTTACTTTGAATTTTGCTCATTTGTTATGGTTCTGGTAGAAATGAAATAAAACTGTCCTTTTTCCAAGTCCCACTTCATGGAAATTCACAAATGTGGTTGTGGAATAAATGAAGACATAATGAAAAAGGAAAAAAAACCTGTTGCTGATTAAAGTGCCGGGCTAATTATTTGAGCTGCATACCTATGAAATCATGTCATATCTCTTTGACACAAGACATGCGGCCGCAGAAGTGCTTGTACTTGTACTGCACCGCTTTGATTTAATTAGTGGTAAAGTGTTTGTGCTAACATGAAGAGATGTACGGTGTGTGTTGACAAGAACTCAGCACCTTGGTCATTTTACAAGATGGAAAACTACTTAACATGATTGGAGATTTATTTTGCTCTTCTCACACACCATAGTGGAACACGACTGCAAGTGGAAATAGTCAAACATATTACAGTAACAGTGGACGCACTAAACTGTGTGTCACAGGATGCCCTGCATCGGTCCGTTAACACCCTGACACCTCCGCCCTCCCGCCGCCACAGCTTCACCTCTGTTACATTCCTCAGCTCTGGGCCTGGGGACAACAGCTGCACACACACAATCATTAACCTGAATAGAGAGAGA